TAGGGAATCTTCCCGTAAACAAATATTTGAACGCTTCATCATTAAACATCATTACGTTCATTACAATATACCTTCAAATTTTGATGGTTATTATGATGATGGTGGTGGTGGAAATCAAATTAGCGCAGACACTTTTTAATTTGTATAACGGCATTTTTTTTAACCACAAAAATTCTGCGACACAAATTAACTCTTAAAGAAAATTGTATAAAAACCGAGCCAAAAGGAAATTTAATATCATTAAAAGCTCAACAAAACTCAGGAATAAAGTAATAAAAAAGTTCAACAAAACTCAGGAAAACAGGAATAACAATGAACTTTAACAGAGAAAGCTACACCCTGTCTATAGGATTCGCTGAACATCGTAACACCGATGAGATAAGTCCCGACGAGCGGGACTTTCAATCATCACCTTTTAAAGTACACCTTCCATTCTGATTAATAGCCATATGATGACTTGAATCAATACGCTCTACTTTATGGTATGTATTCAAGATTTCAACAAAGTTGTTATTCACGCAATCCACATCCCCTATCGAAACGTAATGAGTTTCTCATGCTTGCACCCATAGTTGTTTTGGACGTAACACATCAAAACGAATCGGTTAAAACCGGACCAATCGATATTCGCATTGAATTGAAAGCTTCAAGTAACATACCAGCTAATGCATCAGCCGAATGTTAAATTTTACATGATAAAATATTTGACTTTGTACTCGTTACAAATGAAGTAGTAATGGATTTTAACAACAGAAACAAATCCTTTCTCTCCATATAACTTTAGATATATCATTTACTTTTTAACCATTGTATCTTTAAACATAGCAGTGCACGTTTGTCAAACAGGCAGGTATTATAACGGAAATAAATATATATTTTTTGCTTCTTATATTGAAAATAGTGATTAGTTCAGTATTACTACTCCTCGAGCAGATTCGAATTCAAAAACTGTAGAGTTGAATTTAACTCTACCCAACGATGATGATGTTCCCAAACCAATATTTCATTTGTTATGATGAAAGTAAGTGAAGCACTGGAAACTAAAGACAATGATTATCTTTTGAGTAAAAGATGAAGATGATGCTACATCGTTAACAACTAGTACAACTATTTCATTACCTATTAAAACACCGATAACGTAACAAGAACAACAGAACACACATTTAATTAAAATATTTTTTAATGAATGATGCATTTTGCACATAGAGGCATTTCGTCAATTGTTAATCAATTCCGAAAGAGATGTAGGTGGTATACTGGACATTTTAATCTCAAATATGAAAATATTGATATTGTTCGTTATACTTATGAAAGAAAATTTCTGAGAAAAGACAACTAAAAATAAATTTCTTCGAATATCGCGAATTTGAAGAAGGGAATATTATGTAGTGGCGAATTAAGAATTGAGGCATACCAGACTGACGTCGTGATCTGTCACTATTCATAAAAAAAAACTTATTCTTGTTATAGTTGTTTTGAAGTTGTATCAATTTGGAAAAAAATTGTGAGTTTAGTAAGAAAGGTTCAGTGAAGAAAACATACTGATATCAATTTTACAGTAAAACAGAGTCGTTAAGTGGCCCGCAAACCAAAGAAAAAAGTGCATGGCGACATGTGGCGTCTCTGTGATGTTGCTCAGAATGCGGCTATAAATCTAGAGATCCCAGCATTTATTTTAGGATGATGAGGCTTGTGATGTTAAAATATAATTTTTTTATTGTAAAATAATGTATAAGCCCAACATTTTTTTTTTCAGCACGTAAAACTCGTTACCGATCAATAATTGTTTTCCTGCTTGTTAAAATCATAGAAATAATGCGTTGACGTTTCACTCTAGAAGCGTGATTGACCATTCCTTACCTATTACATCTTATCATACCAAGGCTGAGAGATAGTTTTCATTTAATTATTCAATTCTCTTTAATAGATGCGGCATATGGAAGATGTACATTATTAACAGTTAACATGGACATTTATACGTGCGTATATTTTCGCCCATCAAACCAGTTAGCTCACTTGTCAATCCATTCATGCGCTTTTTAGTTTTGAACTTTGATATTTTTTTACCAACTAATAAGGCCTTTCTATTTAATTTCATCATAATTTTCAATATTTAAAAAAAAAAACTTATTCACTTCTTACTTGATTAATATTATTCTCTGATGTAGATGCCATTTTAATTAGACGCAAAAAAGTTGAAATAAAACAAGCGATCTTGACCACGATGAAGATTGAAATGAACAAAGCGACGCGCATTTGCGCCTGCAAAATGTTCTTTGTTTCGCAGAAAGCCGTTATGTGGTTTTTTTCTTTGCAAGATATATAAGAAAAGGAGCATATATGAAGAGAGCACAGAGTTGCTTTCCTAGAAATATGAATTGCGAAAATAAAATCTCTCTACATTATGTATGAATTTCGTTTGAACATCGTGAATAATGATGATCGTACTACATTTACTTTAATAATAATTTTTATTTTTGATAAACTTATTTGGCAAACACATGTTTATAATAAAAAATTTGATGAAATATGAATCTTCAATGCATCTAAATAATTACTTTTTTTGGGTTTTTTTTGCTACTTTGATTTACAACTCTTGCGATAGTTCATATATATATATAGTTCATTTGCGCGGCATAACAATATCAATTGTTATAATTCAACTATATTGTCGAGAAATTTTGTTTATACAATGACTATAGCTACCAAAGTAAACACGAAAAATAGGGTAAAATCGAATGCCACGCCTATAAAAATTGTATAAAAC